CCTTTGTGACTTAGAGCAGGTAAGGTAAACAGTGTCCTAAGTTCATGTCAGCAGTGTGAAATAATACTATGGTAACTGAAGCTGCCAAGCTACTCTTCATGCCAAGAATGTGAAAGATACCCATAAAAATGGTACAAAGCTACTACTTAATCATATTTTGGTTGGATTAGAAGGATACAGTTGAACTTTGGGATTTTTATATTCCTTTAAAATGTTAATCTTCCAAAGCCTTATTTCATGACTACCATGAAACTTTCAGGTCTCGTATTGGGTAGGCAGAGATTTCTGCTGATGTGCTGTATTTTGCAGCCTCTCTTTCTTCTTTCATAAACCCTGATTTCTGGCAGGGATGTTCCCTTCAACATGAGGCTTGGGCCTTGGTTACAGATGCAATTCTATGGGTACTTCAAGTTCAAAGAATGATAAGGCTGGATGCTAAAGGAAAGTGGAACTGATTTTGTGGCAATGATATATAAACCATGTTAGAATCTTTGATATTCCAATATGAAAGAGATTTTAACTGTTAATATTCAACTATTGAAGATAGTGAAAAATAGTGGGTGAGTATGTAAATGTCAGGAGCTCACAGACAAGTATGTGAAGATAGATCAACAGAACGGTAATCTGGAAAGGAAGTGTGTGTCCATGGCATTGTGCCTCCAGCTGTAGCAGTTGTAGTGTTTCCTCTTATATTAACTACAACAGGAGATGGGGATGGCTAGAAGCAGGGATGCTGGCACACATCTTAGACATAGGAGGACGAAATGTCACTGTCTCCTAATAGAAACCCCAAGTAACTCTTAAAAGAGAAGTTGGTGACAGTCTAAGAATTAGAGACTCATCTAATTTTAGAGCTTAGAACTCCATATAACCCTGATGTTTTGCAGATATGAATACTGTTGTCTCCAAAGGGTGTGATGACATGTCATAGCCCCTCCAAGATGGTAAAGGCTTAGATCTGAGGGCCAACACCCTATGTCTCTACCTCACCCCCCATCTTCATTTGATAATAGCTTCAAAGAATGTTTTATTACAAGTTGTTTACCTGTTGTGAAAGCTATGACTATATAGATGTGTCCAATAAATTAAGGTTGTCATTCTTTCTTCTAACTCTTCATCAGTACCAAATAAGATAATGGAAAATAGAAAGTTGTAACTAAATTCTTCAATGATTTAGTCATCTCTGTATAATAGTTTCTTGGCCTTTGCAAAAATCAGATGGGCAATTGGAGTAGCTGCTTGTGGCAGAATCCAATATGGCTGGATGTGTTTTCCACAGATTGTGTCACATTTCTGGAAAAGTGCTGTGAGATTTTTTTTTGATAGCAGTGAAAAGTGTGTGTGTGTGTGTAATAAGATCCATAATGAGAATAAGATTATAGAGAGAGATAAAATGCTTATTTTATGTGCACATTACATATATATGTAAATGAAATTCTTAATGAGTATATTAAAGTATAAAATCACAACATTGAGGCAATTCTCCTATGAAAAGGCAAGTTATAACTGATACCACTACCATCAGTCTGAAAGATTCTTTTATGGTTTCTTTTGTAATTCCTTCTTTAGAATTATAGTCTCAAATGTTCAAAGCATTTGGAAATTTTTTAGTTTTCAGTTGAAAATTATATCTCCAAAAGAGCAGCACAGAGAAAAGCAAAAAAGTACTTTTTTAAAATCAAAGTTCAAGTAGGTTGCTGGTAGTTCATCTGTAATCCTTGCTACATGAGAGATTGAGATCAAGAGGATCACAGTTTAAGGCCAGCGGGGCAAAAGTTCTCCAGACCCTATCTCAATCAATAGCTGGACACAGTGATGGGAATCTGTCATCCCAAGCTATGTGGGAGGCTGAGATTTGGAAAATCATGATTCCAAGCCAGCTCAGGCAAAAAAGTTTGCGAGACCCCATCTCAACCGAAAAAAGCTGGGCATGGTGACTCACACCTGTCATCCCAGCTTCAGCCAAAAGTCTAAAATAGGCCTATCACACTCTAGGCCAGCCTGAGCAAAAAGTAAGACCCTATCTCCAAAATAACCAGAGCAAAAAGAACTGGAGGAGTGGCTCAAGTGGTAGAGCACCTGCCTAGCAAGCTTGAAGCCCTTAGTTCAAACCCTAGTACCACCAAAAAAAAAAAAAAAAAAATCAAAGATCAGCTGAAGGTATGGTTCAAGTAACAGACTGCCTAGCAAACACCAAGCCCTGAGTTCAACCCCAGTACCACAACCACCCCCAAAAACATCAAAGTTCAGGCCAGAGTTTAAATTTCACTCTGCTGTTTATTGACTGAATGACTTTCTGAGCCTTGTTCCCAACACTGTAAAATAGGGTAAAGATAATAAAAATGTCTCACAAGAATACTATGGGTTCAGAATGATAAAAATAGATTACAGTCTGTAACAGATTTTATACAAATTGGATGGTTTTGTTTCATACATTTTTGGATAATATGTTCTATAAATGTACCATTAAGTGATATTTTCCTTTGAAAATTTCTTTTTTTTTTAAATGTACATTTATTCTGGTGTACTCTACTGTTGAAGTCCTGGGATTAATGGACGTGAGATTGTCCTGTCATACTTTTCATTATCAAGAATATGATGAAAATCCCAAATCATATACTCCCAAGTCTTTTGCATACAACTGGTCACTCTTGAGCTCTCCCTTCCTCACACAGGACACCCAGCTGTTCATTTTGAATTCCTGTCCCCAAACTTATCAGCTCTATTATGTCATGTTGATCTACATCATTCTTAATTCTTTAGTTGCAGACGTAGCATGACATCATAGAAAGACACAATAGCTTCCTTTATTTCTACTTATTTCCAGAGTCCTGTTGACTTGTATAACTACACCGTGATGGACTTAGAGTATCACCCATCCTAATCAGCCTCTTAGTAAACATGACGTCCTTCAATCCGGATTGCTTTTATTTAAGTTCATTATTTTATATTTAGCCTTTTGAAGTAAAAACTTTTCCTTTTCTGCAGACTTGGTCTCATGAGTAGTTCTTAGTTTAGTTTAGATTTTGGTTCCTTTTTTTTTGTGGTGGTGGTAGTGGGGCTTAAACTTAGGACCTAAACCTTGAGCCATTCCACCAGCCCTTTTTTTTTCTTTTTTTTGAGCCACCCTAAGATGAGTAGGGTACTGAGCAGTGCAGAGGGGAAGCAGCTGTGAAGTAGACGTGAACTTTATCCAGTGGGAGGGGTCACGTACACTACCAGGATTAGGGATTCTCCAGCAGGGGGCTTATGCAATGGGTCTGTCTGGAGGACTGGATGGGGGAATACCCAGCAAGTGATTTCTAAAACATGCAAGTACGGCATCTGCACACATGCCCGGATAGGGCCAGACCCCATCCTCCCCTTCCCTTCTCCTTCCCCTATCTATCTACCTTCCCCCTCCCCCTATCTACCCCCCCCCCCAGGAGGATGGGGGTTGGGTCAGCGGCTGCACTGTGCTTTTCACCCAATATTCCTGGCTCAAGGGGAGCTTGTCCCGCCCCTTTTCTCTTTCATCTTTCTCATCAACGAATGGGGTGGGAGAATTTTGGCCACGCCCAGCTCCCATTGGTCCTACTAGTACCCTGGATACGCCCCTTCCGGCCCGAGGCCGTTGATGTCCAAGGCAGTTTGTACTGGTAGCTGAGGTCAGTTGCGGTGATTTTAGAGATGGTGGACATGTGGCCCCACACCTTCCGCGTCCCAGCCCTGACATGCCGGAAGAAATAAGGCAGAAAAAAATTGTCTGTGACCAAAACAATTGTGAGGAAGTATCAGCAAAGGAACAGTCCTGACGTCCCCCTAGGCACAAAGAATTAAAAAAGGCAGTAACCCTGAGACAACCACCTCCAGCCTAGGATTCGCCCCAAGACCGTACTGGCCCCGCACCACCATCTGCGCATGACACTGGGTTACCTACCAGTGTCCCTTCTCCTGACGCCAGTATTACCAGCAAGTTGTCTCCTCAGAAGCATGGTGGGCTCAGTTTTATACATGAAGCCAAGACTTTACCACAAACCAAGAGCCTGATCAACTGAAAAAAGAAGAGGAGGGCCCGCAGAAGGCAGCTCAGGAGCTGGAAGAACTGCACAAGAAGCTGCAGCTTCACGTGCACATCATAGAGCTCTTGGTGTCTGAAAAATCAGCATCGCACGCAGCTCTGGCCCACACGGAGCAGGACGCCCAGCGGAGAGCTGGAGAGACCCAGGTTTTTGCCAGCCACCTGCAGGCCGCCCAGCAGCGTGTGCGAGAGCTCGGGCTAACCGTGTGTGCTGTATCCACAGAGAAGAAACAGTAGACAGGTCCAATAAGGAGCTGATGAAACAACAAGCGTCTCTGAAACGGGAACAGTATGACATCCAAGAACACAAGGAGGACCTGATTCAGCAGAAGTCCATAGTGGAGGAGAGGCTTGGAGTGGCACAGATGGACAAAGTGGCCATACAGCATGAAATAGAAGAGCTGCACAAGAAGGTGGAGATTTCTGACCAGCTGCTGCTGCAGTTCTCCAGTGGGGCTGAGGCTCCAGATAGTAATGGGACTCTGGAAGAGTGGGCTGAGCTGGAAACACAAGTGGGGACACTGACTGAGCTCCTGCAAAAGCCATAGCTGGAGAAAGACCAGTATGAGGAGACTCTGAAAGGAGAGGGTGTCTTGTGGGAGCAGAAGATGGAGAAAGTTTTGGAACAGGTGCATACCTTAAGGGCTGAGATGGAGCACAGCATGCACCAGGTGTTGGAGCTGGAGAGCAAGTTGGCTGAACTCAGAAGCCACCTACCGGAGCTGCCACCAACATATTCCCCAGAAGAATCATCTGAGGCAGAAGAGTGGCTGCAGACGGAGCTGGAGAACCTGCAGAACAGCTGCAGGCCCAGGTGCAGGAGAACGAGAGCCTTTGTCTCCTGAACCAAGAGCAGGAGCTGCTGGCACCGCAGTGGGTGGCAGAAGTCTGGAACCAGCAGGCTAAGACTACAAGAAGATCCTAGAAACTGTGGAGAACTACCAGACCACAATCAGCTGCAGAGTCCTGCAAAACCTTGAGCTCAAGGAGCAGCTGGCTGAGCTGCAAGATGGATTCATTACACTTACGAACAACAACGTGGACGTCACCAGTGCTCTGCACTCAGAGCAGCACATCAAGAAGGAGCTGGCTAAGGAGGCCCAGCTGTAGGATACACTGGGAGACATGAAGGAGATGATGAAGACGAAGAGCCAAGAGGTTCGGGGTCTGCAGGAGCAGCGAGACCGTCCCCGGCCCACCTGCAGCAGCACATGACCACCTACCAACAGCTGACCTCCAACAAGGAAGCACTGCACCGGCAACTGCTGAAGCAGACCCAGCTCGTGGAGCAGCAGCAGCATGAGGAGGTGCAAGGCGAGATGGCTTTGGAGATGCCCCACCAGGAGCGGCTGGAAGCCACCAGCCAGGACTACCAGCAGCTGCAGGCCCAGCTGAGCCTCCTGGCTGTCCCCAAGGAAAGAGGTGGAGTTGATAAGATGAAACGGCTTCCCAGCCTGATGTCACCATCCTGGAGGACCAAGACAGCTCAGAAGCCATGGTGGCATTTCTTAGTGCCACTCTCACCAGAGCTGAGGAAGAGAAGGCCAGGTGCCAGGGGTAGCTGAGGAAGCAGTAGGCGCACTGCCAGCACCTGGCTCAGCTGGCAGGCCTGGCTCCTGGGAGTGAGGGCAGCTGTACATGCAGGCAGAGTCACCAGGCCCTACAGGTACCCGTGGAGAAGCTGCAGAGCCACTTCCTGGAGGTTGTGCAGGAGAAGCTGGAGTTCAGGAAGCAGTTGAAGGAACTAGAATATCGCTATGTCCAGCTATCCAGAGCCATGTATACCATGGTAGAGTCTGTTGCGCTCTACAAAAGTGAGAGAGCAGTGCCAAAGACACAACAGGGTGCCTTCTAAGAGGTAACCCTCACCGAGATTGTGGAGCCCATACAAGGAGAGGCTGAGGTGGCGCAGCCCACTGATGGGCTGCGTGAGATCCAGAAACCAAGGGGAGCAGGAAGGCTTGGGCAACCTGTGCATTCCCTTCTTCTACCAGGATCATGGGGAGGATGGGAGGCTTATGCTGATCTAACACACTTAACAGCTCAATCCTGGAGAAGTGAGGCTGCGTCTCTGCCCCATCCAAATCCTGTCACTGCTTCCCAGTCACCCTTTCATATTCAGAGTAGCAATATCAAACCCTCTGTTTTAACAGGGTACATAAAATAGCTTCATATCCCATGCCATTATAGCAAAGGCTAAGTCTTCATTTTTAAACTTCTGTTCTCACAAAAGAGCCAGCTCCCATCTTCTTTAGGGCAGGATTGGATTGGCCAGGAACCATTTTCAGGGGCCTCCAGGCAGTCCAGGATTGCCATAGACCAGGAGAACACAGAGTCCACATGTTCATGTGATATGGTATTCAACAGTGAACTGGAAAATGTTCAACTAGTTTAAGTCATAGTAACATTTTGTAGTTTTAGAATTCAACCTTTATTTTCTGCTGTTACTTCTTTCATATATAGACAGACATACTCAGTCACACAAGAACACATACATACACAAGCACTCACATGCACGCATGCACACACCTCTCGTGCTTGTTCCTTAAAAGTATTTTTATTGCTGTTCTCTTTCAAATGTGAAAATATTTTTTCTTTTTTCTCTTCTAACCTAGATGTTGTTAGTTTACGCAGTTTTCCTGTAACTCCCATGTTAAATATCCATAAGTTATATTTCAAACCTTGATTCAACCAAAAGAATAAAATGTTCTTAACATGGACAACTTTTAGTGTTGCAATTTGTTTATCCCATCATCAGTTTAATACTGGATCATTGATCCCAAGGTCATGTCCAGACAAAGTTGATGATTGAATACACCAGACTGGGAGTTAAGAGTAAAGCAAGCAGCAAGGTTTATTAAAAAGAGCAAAATGGCCAGCCCAGAAGGGGCTTAGGAATGCTAAGCAGTAGTGTAGCTGGAGTATAGGAGTGATATAGGGCTCTGCATGGCTTAGGTCCAACTATTCTGTCTTGAAATTTACTGCATTTGTGGTTGGTTGGCACCTAGTTAAGTTCTTGCTGAACTCAGCCACTTGCCCGTCCTCCTCCTCATCTAACACAACATTTTGAGAAGGTCATGTTGACCTTGGGGCCCACCACCCGCATCTTGGAGCTGCATTCGTTGTCTTGGTAAAAGGCCTATTATTTTTTAAAGAATCCTGTTGTTTCTTGTGCCTTTTCGGATGTCTGCTTCTAAAATGTCTCCCTTATCCATAATGGAGTCATCACTGTCATTTGTTCTCCTTACATTCTCCCCTCTCTGGAGGTAACCTTGACTTCTGTCAGGAAAAGGGGCGACATTCTCTCTAACTACTTCAGGCTGACAAGGGTCAATGAGGAGCACCTGGACAGTTAGACAAGGATTCCTTTGAGGTGCTAAGAGGGATCTGTCAAGGGGCCCATGGTACTAGGAAGAAGTCTCCAGTGTGTACAGCCCCATTTCCATTACCATCTGGAGCTTCATTGTCTCTAGGCAAGAAGGGACAAATTTTATCAGTAAGTTGAAAACACATGGACCAGACAGAAGGAACATGCCTACAAGAGGACCCAGGAAGGGGAGCAACCAAAACATCCAATCCCAAGTGATGAATCCAGATCCTAATTGTCATTGTCTGATCTGAGAGGCCATATTAGCCAATATTTTGCTATGTCTCAGATGAGGCCTGATTGATTTAGCATAGAAGTAGCATTTTTTTTCCCAGAAAAAGGCATAGGACTCTTTTTTTTTTTTTTGCTGTTAGGAGGCAGTTAGGCCTCTTATTCTGGTCCCAATATTGTTATTTCAAGAGCAGTCAAGGGGGGATGAGTTGAACTGCCCGCTTTACATGAATTTGGGCAGTAATAAACCAGTACACAAAAGGGATAAATACTTCACATATATGAGTCCAAGAAAAAACCATTGTGTAAGTCCAAAATTAGAAATACCATAAGCCATAATAAAGCAGACTTCAAGAAGGAGTAAATAACTCCATTAGTAGCAAAAGGACATGTTTGGAGCCAGTAGAAGTAGTCATCTTGTCTCTGTTTAAGTAGGAGGCCTCACCAAAAATATGCATTTGTCCTTTGCCAGAGGTGCCTGGGAGAGCTTTAATACCAGCTAGCCATACATGCATAACAACCCCTTCTTTAACCCTCTCAGCTTTGGTTATTTTTTGAGAGGCCTGGCATGAGTGACACAATGTGGTAAAAGGGGGATTCAGGCAAAATGCAGATCATATTATTGCACGGATAAGGAAGTGACCCCAAAATCTGTATGACTGTTGATGAACATTCTGATTTCTAACTGGACAGAGGCAGTGATTCCTGAATTTTCTAGTTAGTTGGCACCTGTCTTGACTGATTAAGGAAGAAAATAATTTCAAAACTGAGGGGAATGACCAACAACCAAATATTACTAAGAAGCTGAGTAGGGTGAAGAAAGTGACTGATTGGATAGCAAAGAAGCTATGGATGACCTTAACCAGAATGTGACAAGCTTGGAAGACAGTTGAGTTGGTATTGAATTGGATGGCAGATGAAAGAATGGAAGCTGTGAAGAGGAGGAGATAAGTGGTATAATAGCTCAAGGATAATGTGGACTGAGGAAGGTATTTTTGTTTTATTTTATCAAAGTCAAATGATACCAGAGCATATTTGTGTGCATTAAAAATAACCTGTTCAGAGGGAAATTTACATGACAAGAGAACATAGAGTAGTGGCAGGAGTCATTTAATAAGAATAAGAGAGGAGATATGATCTAAAGCACAAATGGAAGGTTGACTTTTTGTTTACAGAGCTGGGGGATCAAACCTAAGACCTTGTACATGATATAGACAAACTCTCTTCCACTGTACTCCATACCCAGCAAGGGTTGACTTTTGATAGGAGCCAGAGTACAACAGCCTTGTTGAAGTTATACCCTGGTATGGCTTCCTGCCCCACAGGAAGCTTTGAAGATGTTCTTAATAGCAGCAATCAATTTCAAGGTATCCATTTCATGATGTATCTTTGGCATGTCACCTAAAAGATCTGGGAGCCAGAAGTTGAAAATGCCCAAGTGCATGTACCCAGAAGCATTAGCAAGTCTTCACCGTATCCCACAAGTCAGCTCTTAGGGACTCCTTTGACTCTTGAAAATATGACATATACCATGACATCTCAACGTTCATGTAATATACCCTTTACAGGAAATGCTAATTTGACAAACTCTTCATGAATTGCTTCTTAATGGTTATTCCACTTATTTGTTGTTCATGTAGTTCTGAAACACGTAAAGAAGGTGTGAAAAGCTTGTGGCATACAAGCAGTAAATTGCAGCTAGGATTCTAAGCAAGCCTCTTTTTTTTAGCTTTTGTGCTGAAGGTTTTAAAAAATATGCAAAGTTTCTCAATTATCTTTTAAGCCTAAAAGAACCATAAGAAAATAGAACAAATGCACAAAGTTGCAGACAGTCTCACTTATGAATATGCATGTAAAAATCATAAGTATTTGTAAATGTAAACCAGCACTCTAGTGAAGACTGCATGCAGCACCAAATTGAACTTATTCCAGGAATGCAAAGATTATTCAACATTAGGAAATCAATGAATATGACCAATCACATTAGTAAATTAAAGGAAAAAACATTTTTATTATCTCCATGGTTGTCAAAAGGTAGTTGATAAATTCAGTATCCCTTCCTGATTAAAAAAAAAAACTCTTAGTAAAACTTAAAAGAATATTTCCATAATATCAGAAATCTGTGGCCAATAACATATGTAGAGGAAGAACACAAGATATTCTTAGTAAGTAAAAAATTGAGGCTGGAGTTGTGGCATGCCTCTGTAATCTCAGCATTTGGGAGACTGAAGCAGGAAGATCACAGATCAAGGTCAGCCTGGGCTACATAACAAGTTCTAGGCCAGCCTGGTCTATATAGTGAGATTCTGCTCCTAAAAAAAAAAAGTGTTTGTATGAATATAAATACATACACATATATCTGCATATACATACAGTGCAACAAATGTTTTATGCATTGTTATTTCTCCCTTAGAAAATAAGAAAAACCTTTGAAAAATTCATTAGAACACCTAAGTCATAAAATGTTTAAAAATAAATATTTACTAACCTAGTTGAAATAGTCAAATAACCTGGAAAGATATGAGCTACTAAAATTGACTCAATAAAAAAATAGAAATTTGAATACATCTATAAAGCAAGAGATTAATTAGTAACTAAAACAACTCTACACAAAGAAAGCCCAGACCCAGATGACTTCAATGCTAAATTCTACTGAATATTCAAAGAAAAATTTAACATGGTCTTTCACATACTCTTCCAAAATATAGAAAAAGAAGAAAAAAAAAAACACTCCCTGACACATTCTATGAGCTCAGTATTTATTACTCTGATACCAAAACCAAAAATAATACAAGAAAACTACAGAACAGTGTCTCTTATGAATGTAAACACAAAAATCCTTAACAAAATACTAGCAGAATGAATACAGGAAGGATTGTACCCTCTGTCCAAATGGAATTAATGTAAAGTTCAGTTAACATATGAAAATTAATCATTGGTCTCCACCATGTTACTAGAATAAAGGACGGAAACCACATGATCAATAGATCAGAAAAGGCATTTGACAAAATTCAACACCCTTTCATGACTTTAAAAAAAACATAAAGCAAATGAACAATAGAACATAAAGCTATCTATTTCTTCAAAACATAGATAACGTCATGCTTAATAGTGAAAAACTGGTTGCTTTTCCCCTAATGTCAGAAACAAGGTAAGATATGCACACTCTCCACTTCTATTTAATGTTATGGAGGTTCCAGCCAGAGAAATAGGCAAGAAAAAGAAACAAAAATCATTAGAACGAGTCAGTGAGTTTAGTAAGGTTACGTGATGGAAGATAAAAAAAAAATTCTATACATTAACAAGGAACAATCTGGAAACAAAATTATGAATATAAAGTCACAAGAACATTAAAAAGAAGAATATAACAAGAAATAAATTTAACAAAATAAGTACAAGATTTGTACATTGAAAACTAGAAAGCATTGTTGAAAGAAGTAAGTGGAAATGTATTCTATGTTCATGGATTAAAAGATATACTATTGATCTCAGCAACCCTTTTACAGAAGTTGGCAAGCTGATCCTAAGATTCATAGAAAAAATTAATAAAAGAAGAAAAAAGTAAGAGGATTTACTTTTGATTTCAAAACTTACCATAAAAAAGTACAGTAATCGAGTGTGTAACTGGCATAAGGATAGATATGAAGATAGAATAGAATTGAAAGTCCAGCAAAAAAAACATACATTAATTGATTTTAACAGTGTGCCAAGACAAGTCAATATAGATAGGGTAGTCTTTTCAAATGGTAATACTGGAATAACAATATTCACATGCAAAATAATGAAGTTAGACTCAACCTCACACCATATACAAGAATGGATCATAGATCTAAATATAAGAATGAAACTACAACTTTTGGAAGAAAGTATGGGAATAAATATTCATGACCTTGGCTTAGGCGATGGTTTCTTTGCTATGGCAACAAAAGCACAAGTGATAAAAGAAAAATTAGTTAAATTGGATTTACTCCAATGTAAAAACTTGTAATTGAAAGAAATCATGAAGAAAATGGATCCCTACAATACCAGCTACTTGGGAGGTAGAGGCAGGAGGATCATGAGTTTAAAGCCAGCCCAAGCAAAGTTAGCAAGACTATCTCAAAAACAAAAGGAATGGGGGTGTAGATCTCATAACAACAATAAAAAGGTGACTTAGTTTGAAAGTGTGCAAAGGATTTGCATAAATGTTTCTCCAAAGAAGATATGGAATTGGCCAAAACACACACAAAAGATGCTGGGCATCATTAGTCACTTAGAAAAATCACCCCAGATCCACTATGAGACATCACTTCATTCCAGTAGCGTAGCTAGAATCAAAATACTAGACATGGAGATATTGAAGTCTTCATACCTTGCTAGTGGGAAAGTACTAGCAAGTAGTGAGTACACCTGCTTTGGAAACCAATTTAGCAACTTTTCAATATATTTAACATGGAGGTGCCTTATGAGCCAGCAATTCCACATCTATGTAGCTATAAAAATTGAATACATGTGTCTACTCAAGAACTGGTACACAAATGTTCATAGCAGCAGTACTCAAAAGTAGTCCAAAAGTGAAAACCCAGATGTCCACTAACTGACAAACGGATCCATGAGATGTGGCATATTTATATGATAAAATAGTATCCATGAAAATGAGTAAAGTGCTGATATAGGCACAACATTCTGAGCCCCGAAAAGATTTTCCTAAGTGAGAGAAATCAAACACAATGGCAGCATACTGTATTGCTCCATTTCTGTGGCATGTATAGGATAGGCAAAAGAAATAGAAGGATAGGAAATGTATCGAAGGCAGGAAATAATGGAAGGAGAGAACATAGACAGTGGCTGCTGGTGGACGTAAAGTTTCATTTTGAGGTGATGAAAATTTTCTAAAGTTAGAAGGTGGTAATGGATCTATAATTCTGTGAATAAATTAAAAACCACTGAATTATACACCTTAAAATGTTGAACTTTACAGCGTATGAATTTTATCTCAAATAACACTGTTAGTAAATAGTAAACAAATGATTTATATTTTTAAACTGCTTTCTATAGGCCTTGAACAACAAATTCAAAAATATAATGGAAAGAAAAAATGCATGATAATTTTTTAATTCTTGAGTAAGAAGAAAGGAAATAAGACATAGTAGTATGTAGTAATACATAATACAGAGTTTAGATAACTAAAATTGTGGGTCTATCATGGAGACAGACAAAAACAATTCAAAGTCTGGAAAGCCCTAGGCTTTCCATGTATTAGGAAATTGATATATAGTACAGTAAACATCGTGCTCCTCATCAGGAGAAAAAGTGTAGATTACCTATCAAATGGTAGTATTCAGTATTCAGTACCTAGCTAACTCTATCAGTTGGCAGTTTAGGTTGAAAATAGCAGAAATTAATCCTGTCAACCTTCAGCAGAAAAGGAACTTACAGGGAAGAGATTGGGTAGCTCAGAGTCAATAGAAAGCCCATCTCAGAAGATGAAGGAAGTAAAGGATGCTAAGGAGGTAGAGACACAGCCTCCGTGTGCCATAGGACAGTTAGGAAGCCCCCATTCTGTAACTACTACTGCCACCATGACTGAACTTTAGTGTTCTCTGTGTAATTCTGTCACTCATTCTGCTCAGAGACCTGGGCAGGAACATTCAAGGCAGAGATCAGCCATGACCCTGTATCTTTATTGCCAGGGCAAAAAGGAAGGTCTGCCCACCTTCAGCTACTGGTATGGACGATAGGGCACTGAAGCATCTTCCCAGGTAGGGAGGTGTCCAAGTGAAGGGGAGCCAAAAAAAATGACAGATTTCTGCTAACATTTGGAATAACTAAAATTAGAACCATATTTATATCATACACCAAAATAAGTTCCACATGGATTCAGGATTTAAATGTAAAACTTGAGATCATAAAAGTACTTAAACTGCACATGAATATTTATGTGGTCTTGGTTTGAGGAAGTTGCTAAGCATAATACAAATGTAGAAAACTATTAAAATATTGATAGAAAATACTAAATGATCCAGAAAGGGAGTCATGGTCTGTTAAATTAAAACTAAAATTTAGGACTAGAGATATAGCTCAGCAGTAGAGTGCTTGTCTAGTGTGCTCAAGACCTTAGGTTTGATACCCAGCACTGCAAAAACAAAAATAAGTGTTCACATAAAAATAGATGTGATTAAATTTTTTAAGTTATCACTTTTTTTAAGGAAAAAAGGATTAGAGCGACATGTATCAAAATATACTCAGTGGAAATCTGTTGAATGATGAAACTGGAGATATTTCCTTCCTTCCCTCCCTGTATTGAAGGGTTTTCTTTTTAAAGATGATGCTTCTGTTTAAATTTGAAAAATAAGTGATTTGACTGGCTGTTTTGTAAGAATATATATTATCTGAGTCTCCATAGGTAATCTTAGTGCTAAACTGTACAGAAGTGAAAATAACTTCACTGGGCAGGTAAGGAGGCAGTGTGTTTCCACACTCCCACATGTAAGTGATGTTAAAATAGCTACTGAAATTTGTGCCGTCAAGTGGCACCTCAAAAGGAAGGACTCCCCCTCCCCAGATCTCTTAGTTCCCCAGAGTTTTTGTTTGGGTTTCTTATATTTTGTTTTGCTTTTAAGAGACCCATCTGCTTGACAAGGAACCAACTAGTTACCATTCAGGGTATTGGCATCCAAAATTCAGCCAGATGCAGGCTGTGAAGATTTTATCATGGTTTATTGTCTTATCACTTTATGCCCTTACCTATAACTTCTGAGTTGCCCCAACGTTTCCCGTTCTACTACATATAGATACCTGGTATCTTCTGCATTCTTATCCGGAATTCCTATCTCAGTTATGTCTGTTTGACATAAGAGGAACAGAGGGCCCATCCTATGTGATGGTGAGTTACCCACATGGAATAAATGACTCCTCACAGAGGCCTTATTGATGAAGGATACAGGGAGCCTTTTATGTTCCAGAAAGACCAATCATTCCACCTTGTAGAAGCAGACCAAGAGAACCAGAGTCAGCAAAGAATGAGCTTTAAAAATGGTCACTTATTCTCATTCTTGCTACTTAGTTCCCTTTTTCTTGTAAAAATGAAAGAATAACTCTGGCTTTGAACTTGGCCTGTACTATTAAGAAGATGTAAACCAAATGAATGTGGTCTTTCCAGGATATTCCAGTGGAAAAACTGTCATGTTTTAAGAGTTCTTCATATTAAAAAAAATCCTATGAGCATTTCCTCAGGGGACTCATTGAACATTTCCATCATGTTCCTTTTTCAGTCATTAACAGCATGATTCTGAACTTCTCTAAGTTTCAGGTTTTTCTACCCTCACCTTTCCTATTAATTTGAGAGCCCCATTTCTCTGGGTTGAAATTAAATTGCTATGCAACTGTTTTTGGTATTATATGGCTTAGTGATTCATTCACCACAGTCATTCTGCAAGATGGGTGTACAATTGCTTGAGCATATGTATATTTTTGAGCTACACATTTTATGAGAACTTCTATGATTCTCTCATGTTTACATGTTCTGCTCTTTTCCTTCAAATTTATTTATTTTGATGACATGGAGCAGGATGGTAGCTAGTAGCAGAAAAAATGTGTTCATTTCCTCCGATGCTAGAAAGAGTTATTCTTATCCGTGCTTTCTTGGCATCGGATATGATGTTCCGCACATGGGACCTGGTCGTGTTGTGTAATACACAGGGGTCAAGAACAGAGAAGTGACAGGTGCTGCATTGTTGAGGCACAGTCCCTTACTCTGGCACCCAGCCATTATGGATAAGGAGTCCTAGGTGCGGGGGTGAGAGAAAGGCTCTGCTCTGTGTGATGGTGCCTGCACACATGATCACTTTTCTTCCTAGCAGTCCTCCATTGCATCTGAGGACAGCCAGAGTAACACATGCACTTTTCTTGTCTCTCTCCAGGAGCAGCCTACTGCCAGTTCATGGACATGCTCTTTCCAGGCTGCATTAGTTTGAAGAAAGTAAAGTTTCAAGCCAAGTTGGAACATGAGTATATTCACAATTTCAAACTTCTGCAAGCATCATTTAAGAGAATGAATGTTGATAAGGTAGGAGTCTCACTTGTTACTTCCATAAAGTGCACTTTCTTAAAGTTGCTTTGAGCAGAAATGCAAAAATCTGCGAACATATCAATGGTAGTATCTCTTGATATCTCAACAAGTTAAGGTCTGTAAAGCATCAATCCTAACTTCTCCTATTTGTATGAGGTTTTGATTGTAAGAGATTATCTAAACCTATAACCATTAGACTAAAAAGTCTTAAGAGGAGTCATAAATGTCAAAACGTTATCGGTTGTGTTTTACCATTGCAGATGAGAAATTTTTATGTCTGCCAGATGCCTCTGTGGTTCTTTGTGTATTTTGTTCCTTGGGAAAAACAGCATGTTACCATAGAATTAACATGGATTTGAATCCCAGCTCCATACTGGAGCAAGTTATTTGAATTCTTTCAGTCTGAGTTTACTCAGTTATAAGAGGGGATAAAAACCCCTTGCCCATGGTGCCCATGGCTGTGAAGTTGAAATGAAGAATGCTTGTAAAAGTGTCCAGCATAGTATATGCCCTTTTTTCCCCTTTGAATTATTATTTATTTTGTCCTACAAATGGACTTAGGTGCGAGAGTCCTTTTTTCCACAATAAAAGACTGTTCTAAAGCCACTCAGTCTCTTTCTGTACATTGACTGCTATTGAAACATACTTATTAATTCATATTCCTTATTGAAGATAAATCTCCTAGAATGAATAAGCTTGAAAAAAAATTAATTTTGAATAAAAGAAAAGGGATAAACCAGCAAGGGAGAAATGGAAAACTTTTCTTTGCACGAATAATAATAATAATTAAACTATAGCAATAAAAAAATAAAATACTGGGTAATCAGAGAGAGAGGTTAAAAGTAGAGTTTGGTGAACTATATATATTTTAAATTTAATGCAATTAATATGTTCCTAAGTAAATGCGTTCCTATGAAAATATTAAGAAAATTTGGCTTCTCAGAATTTTTATTTCAGATTGTACATGATCAGCCATGTGTGGTGGCTCACACCAGTAGTCCCAGCTACTCCACAGGGTGAAGCAGAAAGATTACTTGATCCCAAGAGTTTGAGACCAGGCTGGGCAAATATCCCATCTCAAAAAAGAAAAGAAAATATACATTCTCTATAACATCTTAACCTGTATTTCCTTTGCCGTGACTAATTTCCAATTGGCTCTCTCCATATATATCCAAACCAGAGCTGTATAGGTTTTCCTTGCTTTTTTAATAGTACTACTTATGTCTTTTTCATTTTTCTGTTCATGCTTCTACATTGGAAAAAGAAACATCTGTCCACCGGTTTATTGGTGGAACTTGCTATGTATCAAATTGATGGGTTCTGTGTCTCTAGAAGTATGCACACAGCGGATGAATAGTTACTAAGAATGTCGAAGAAAAATTCTCACAGTGGAAGGAGACTGGCCTTCATGGCCATTGCTAGCCTCTGTCTTTATAATTCCATCCAAAAGTCCCGTGACAGACAGTATTATGTACCCCTGTTATGTCTGTCTTACTCCAGCAGTATAGTGGAAGTTTTGCTTGCCACCTCAGGTTTGGACTACATTTCTGAAACTTTCACCATCATAGGAAATGCAAAATCAAACCAACAGAAGAAAGAGCCGTCCTTTAACTGCTAATATGCCACCATCATCAAAAACTATCAATTTCACATGTCTGAAGATAGACAAAGTATGGTAGGCTGTTAATTAAAGGACCTTGTGGCTCTGAGAAATCAGAAAAGGTCACTTTATAGTAATTAACCAATGTCTACGAAAACAAAAAATTAAAACTTTGGAGGCATAAAAGTAAGCAAGCAGTACAATGAAAAGTCAGCTGAGTGCACGGATGGCAGGAATTCTTCCAGTGAGAGTTTGAGGGAAGTAAGAGGAGGGAAATACCACCACCCAAGACTCAGAAGAGCCTTCGTGAAAGATATGGTCCCTTCCAAATGTTGGCTTCTCTTTATTTTGTTCTGTACTGGGTTTGTTTACATTTCAGCTACATAAAAAATTTTTTTGAAAAGCTTGTTACTAATGACTTAGCTTAATGGATAGCCTAAAATGCTTCAGTTGCTTTTTTTTCTTTCAGGTTGTCATTGATATTTAAGACCTTTATATATTTTTTTAAGTGGGCCTATTGATGCAGTGCTACATAGCTCCTGAGGTGCAAAGCTTTACTACACTGAATTCCTACAGCCTCCATTCATGTCACGCAGGGAAGCCTTATGCCCTGTGTCCTCATTGGGTTTCTGTTTGAATCCCACGCTCACACACATCTGACTCACAGTTTTGTCACTCTCTTGTGGTTCCCATTCAACTAGTATTCCCACCCAGATATACAGGAAGTAAAATCTACTGATGGTGTGGCTTAGACAGCTCGATACTTTCCATTTTCCTTCAAATAATAGTGGCCCACAGAATTACAGCTAAGCAATGAAGTTCCACTTTTTCCTTGTAATTCCAGTGCCTTCCATTATCGATATAAGACATCCATAGGGAATACTAGTTGACTCTGAGTTTGCAGTGGGAAAAGTTGCTTCAGGAAATGCCGAGCTTCCTATCCTGGAAGCCAATGTGAATGCTGCATGCCTCTTCCTCTAGGGCAACTTCTGTGACTCCTTCATCAGCCTCCATCCCTTTTCTTCTGCATTCCCAGGGGTATAGCTGCTCTCCTGGGTGGCCCAAGAATTCCTGGGCCCTGTATTGTGGGTGATTGTTTTCATACTTGTCTTTCTACATGGTAAATGAGCTCTGAGAAAGCTCATTTTGTTTGATATAAACCACTGCATTCATATCCATTTTTATTGACTTGAATCTTACTCATTTGCATTCTCTAGTAACTATAGTTCTTATAAGAGTTTATCCCAAAACAACTGGGCCAAGTGTTACAAAGAAATAGGAAAGCTTATCAATCTTGAAGCAGCTAATATCACCAGGCCTATGTTTTTGTGGGGAGATGCTTTTTTAAATGTTTGTTTGGTTGGTTGTTGGTTCGTTGGTTGGTTTGGTTTTGGTGTTTTTGACACAGGGTCTCTCTATATAGCCCAGGCTATCCTTGAACTTGCAATCCTGCCACAGCCTCCTGAGAACTAGGATTATAGGGGTGCACTGTCACACCGGGCAGATCAGCCTCTCTTGGCAGCTAAGAATGTTCTTTTGTTTGGTTTGTTCAGAAGTATTAAAGATTCCAGGAGAACCAACTGTGCTGTTTTAAATAAATTCTTTAATATGGTAAAAACTGTTAATTCTAGAATATAGTTGGCTAGGAAGCTGAAGGAGACATCAGTGGTCATGAATTGCAGGCAGGTGGGACATAGCTGCATGAAGCACAACAAACCTGAGGTTTGTCATTCACATAGTCATTGCACATTGCAGGTTATTCCAGTGGAGAAGCTAGTGAAAGGACGTTTCCAGGACAACCTGGATTTTATTCAGTGGTTTAAGAAATTCTACGATGCTAACTACGATGGGAAGGAGTATGATCCTGTTGAAGCACGACAAGGGCAAGATGCAATTCCTCCCCCGGACCCTGGTGAACAGATCTTCAACCTGCCCAAGAAGTCTCACCATGCGAACTCCCCTACAGCAGGTATTGTCACAATAAAATCACAGAATCACCTTCACTGTAGAAAATAACTCAAACCCTCCTGTGTTTCACTGTGTGTTTGTGATTCATTCATCAAAGCAGTCAATATTTTAATGCCTTTGGGTAGTTTTTATTATTGTCTGTGTAACCACATTTATCTTACCATGACCCACTTGTTATAAGTCTAATGATTGTGATTTAAACTACTAAGAAGGCAGAGCTATTTATGTTATATCACTGAAGCAGAATGTTAAAATAATTCTCCAAGGATAGATTTCTTTTTCCATCTAGTTTCCCTGCAAAGTTTTGAGTAATCTGTTTAGATTTTGACTAAAATAACTTTTACTGGTCAGTTGCTGGTGGGACAGAGCATAATTTATGTTGTTAAATATTGATCATCATCTGTAATCCTTTAAAGGAAATTTATGATCTAAATGTCCTATCTCCTATAGAGAAAGTCATTGAGGCTAAATACCTGAAACTTCAAAGGTTCTTAAACTTTTGTGGATAAAAGCCTCTCTAAAATATAAACATCCTTTCTATAAAAAGCAGACTTTGCCAAGCAAAACATATTCTTGTAAAATTGGGTCATTATTATAAACACTCATTTGGTACTGAACAGCTAAATAATGATAGCCTAAGAAACCATTTGTTTTGGTTTTGAATATTGAACCCAGTGTTCAAACCTGTTAAATCAGAAATCTATAGAGATTCCTTATTTATGCTCAAACTTGAGTCACAATAGATTAGAAATTGTTAAGAGTACTACCTAGAGAGTAATAGCTTTGTAGTTACTGTTTTCCTCATTATTAAATGAAGCCATGTTTTTAAAGTATTTTTAAAGATAATAAAGTTAATGTATATATTTAACAGTTTTTTAGATGAAATTTTTAACTCATTTAGATGAGAATAGTAGTAATGTAGAGGAAGAGGAATAGACAATTCTGGGAGATATTTAGCAAGCAAAATAGATTGGAAATTGGTAATGGATGGATGCTGGGGAGAAGGGGAGGATGTATCAAGCATGACTTCTTGGTTTGTCTCACACATTGGGAAAGATGAGGGTTTTTCTTGGAAAGTGCTGAAAGAAGATCAGATTTGGGAAGAAATCATACATTTCTTTTGGCGGACTGAGTTTGAGATTCCTTTGCAGCATCTAAAAGGAGGTCTAAGTGGACAATTTGTGTGTATGTGCATGTAAGCTCAAGAAGTGTGGAACTAGAGATAAACATCTGTAAGACTTTCATACAGTTAAAGTTGGAAGTCAATACAGAATGTAAGCAGTGAGTGCCATGGAGAATTCTGACTTAAATGATTGAGTAGAGAAGGAATAGCTTGCCCAGGAAGCAGGGGAAGCCAGGAAGATTGGAGGAAACTGGGGAGTGATGTCAAGGAAGCAGAAGGAAGGGAGCAGAATACCCACAATGTGTAAGTATGCTGAGAAGTCAAATAAAATGGGTCTGGTAGAGTGCATTGGATCACTCAACTTGGAGTTCATTCAGTGGAATGATGGGATAAGGACTGAATTAAGGAATGAGTTGGATGAAAGACATTGAGACAGTGTCAGTATCCAAAGTTGGAGTCATAGAATGGATGAGCTATATAGATTAAGAAAACTAAGCACAGATCCTTAGGAATAAGTTCGTGTAAGGGAAAAGAAGGAAAAGAAAGTTGAGAGAAAGATAACTATCAAAAAGAAAACTAGGAAGCCAGCTATGGTAACTCACCTGTAATCCAAGCACTTGGGAGGCTGAAGCAGGAGGATCACAAGTTTAAGGCCAGTATGGGGCTGCATAGACCCTGTCTCAAAAGAAAACAAAAAGAAGAATACGAAAACCAGGAGATCTCAACATCAGCCCAGGACAAACTGTAGGAAACTTCTAGAAAGAGGGTCACCAGCAGTGCTGAATATTAATTGTGGAAATATCAAATAGGATGAAGCCTGAAAATAGTTCAAGTAATCTGATTCCTAGAAGGTGATTAATAGACCTTCAGAGAATTTGTCCATTAAGATACTGAGTTCTTAATACCTGGTTGCAGCAGTTCAACAAGGGCAAGGGAAAGATGGAAGTGAGGCATAAGAGTAGATTCTACCTTTAACAAATTCATCAGGAAAGTTATTAAAGAAAATAGCACATTTGGTGGTTGTAGGGAAAAGAGTAACTTTGGGGAGTAATATTGGAAAGAGAAAGGTATTGATCTGTTTTTGTTTACCTGAAGGACTTGACAAAATTATCAGGTTTGTAAGATGGGAGAAAGGTCCATGGAGAAGCAATAGTTGGAAGTAGAAGAAGAGAAATTGGAGGGACAGACCCTGAGGCCAAAAGGAGACAAAAAGTCAAGGGCATAAAAAGAGGGTTAAGAGGAAAAGGAAGACTTACTCTTCTGGAGCAAAAGTGGCGGGATGGGTTGGGAACATTTTAAGCCACACAGAGTTTAGAAAGGAAGAATTCTTAGAGCTCACATTGGCTACCTGCTTGAGTCAGCATCTGTCATCAGTCTAGGAGCTACAATAGAGAAGGGGATGGTGTGTCCTCCCCAGGTCTGGAACTCGGGAACACATGGGGGTGAGAAAATCAAGGGTAGCTGGCATTTCTCATCTTAATGTCATTTTCTTTGCTGATAGCGATGGACAGATTGCTCTTGAAACGCAACTGCCATTTTTACTAGTGAAATCAAACAGACTGCAAAATGTTTTTCTTACACAATCACAATGTGTCCTTAATTTCTTTTTTAACCTTGGCTCCAGCACTTACACTCTTCCAAACAGAACTGTTGGGATGCTGCCTTGGCCTCGTTTTCTAGGAATTCCCTCATCTGTCTCTTAAAAAAGCCACAGAGAAACCTGTGCCGTTTTGATAGGCCTCCCATGAACCTGAGAGAAATACATATTTTCCAGAGCTTAATCTCTCAGGTGACAAAGCACAGGAAATACATCACAGTCAACAGATAATAAATTTTGACTTTTAATGTTCCAGAAGGCAGTAATTCCTGAGACTGAGTTCCTGATACCTTGACCCTATTTACCTCACTGGTCTTAATTGGGGAAGAAGGATATTTTTCAGGAATCAAATTAATCATTTTCTTCTTACTAAAATATGCTCTGATTATTGGACATTGTGGGGTAATGAAATTATACAGGAGAAAGATTATAGCAAGGTATATATCACACATAGAACATTATTACTTAAAAGCCATGATAGGAGATAGGCTTCTATATATGCATCATGACCTCATTCTTCTAGACATCATGTATCCAGATATTGGAAACACAGACAAGTAAATGTAAGCCAAAAAGTCTTCTAAGAGTCAGAATAGGTGTTGTAAAGTCTGTACTACATGACTTTCTAGGGTACTTACCCAGAGTCTATTTGCTCTTTCTTCATTTAAACACAGCTGTAATAAACATGAGGTTGTAATTTCTGAACACATAATGTATTGTGAGAGTACAAAAGAAGATCCAAAATCTTAAAACCTTGCTAAATAAACTCTTCATTTAAAAATGGAATAGCTTCATACCTCTGAGTGGCCCAGAGTATATGTGTGTGACATCTTAGATCTTAGGACTCTGTTGTAATTCCCTGTTTATAATACTGACCCTAAGTCATTTCTCCCATGAACTATTTTTACAATCTCTAAACTGGTCTTCCTAATTCTGGTCTGAAACCACTCAAGGCCACTCTTCCTACACAAGTCTGATTTTGTCCATTCAAACTTTAGGATAAATTAAAGTGCTTGATGAGGTGAGGGTCAGCTGTCTGGGAAATTCACATTTATCTCACAGTGGTGCCAGGTCAGTAGCACTTAGCAGTAATTCTGTTCTCGCCTCTAAGCCTTGGTCATTTCTTAATTATCTGCATTACTGGAAATAAGCCATGGCTAGTACAGTTGAAAATAGGAAATGGTTCTTAATTATTTTTTGTTTAGACTTTAGAATACTTGATTTATTATGTAGTAGATTCATCTCTCCTTCAAATATGTCACTAGGGCTATATGGAAATTAACTTGCATGTCCTGACTGTCACACAATATAAGAGCAGTAAGTGGCAGTTTCAAAGCATCTTCTATGACAGAGATCAGTGGAGTGGGAAAAGTGATCAGGAATGGATTATCCCTACAGTGACTACTGAGAGAACTCCATCTACATTAGCAAGGAAAGAAGTTGTGCTTTAATGTCATCCAGACTACCAAGCACCCAAGGTGGTTTGATGTGTATGAAATAGATAGATTCTGCATATTGGTGCATTCTCTTTTAGTGAGAAAATGCTAGATTTTTCTGCCATTTCAATTCAGATCAAAGCTTTTCTTCTATGGATTCAAAGGAGCTATAGTTTGGTGTTTGTGTGTGGTTGGGTGGCTTACCTGCACTGTAATCAACTTCAGCATAAGCAGAGGTGCCATATAAGAGTGGAAGGCTGCCAGGTAAGTTTAATTCTACATTCTGAGGAGTTGCATCTTGAATTGGGTTTGCCCTACCAACCAGGGCCATGCATTAAAAATGCACCTTTTCACAATGATAGGTATCTATTAAGTGCGTACATCATTGCAAATCATGATATAAACTTATTGCTATGAGCCATATCTGTATCTCAAAATAGCTGTCTGGGGAGATCAGTCTTTATGTGTAAGCACTTACTAAACTTAAAACAAAATTCAAAGTTATAGTTTCTATAGCAACTACAGTTTAGATACATTGCAAATTCACATACATTAGTACATTTAAATTAAACTCCCATATACAAATATAGTGTGATAGATTTAGAGTTGTTATGGGAATTAAGTCTGAGCTTTCTCTTTTCCTTCGAGACCAGTGTTTCAGCCTTGAAATCAGGTTAATGGAAATGCTAAGAGTGTGATCTCAACAAAGAAGCAAAATAAGGAGTATAATAGAATAAGGTATCTGAATAATTATAATTAAATGCCCAGAAATAAATCCTAACAGTGTTTTTCAAAAACTATGTTGAATATTTGAATACTCTCATTCAATTACCTTTAATTTTGAA